ATATATATATATATATATATATATATATATATATATATATATATATATATATATATTGTTTCAGTATATTGATGATATTAAAATCGTGATTATATGATATAAAGAAAGCAACATAATATAAGAAAATTAATGTATTAATATAAATATGGAAAAATGCGCGCTTGAGAATGAACTAAAAATGTTGCTTGCTGTTTTCTTTTTCTTTTTAAAAAATTTAAAGTAATAAACTTTATAATATTTTCAGGTGCTACGTCTATAGATGCATTTTCATTACGTGACAATGCATGGATGTCTTTGGCTGCCATGAGTGGCAGAAGACTGCAATTCGGTGCAGTAGTAGTCGATAGGAAATTAATTGTCGCAGGTGGCAGGGATGGTTTAAAAACACTGAATACGGTGGAATGCTTTGATTTCTCCACTTTTCTATGGAGCACTTTACCACCTATGAATGTTCATCGTCATGGATTGGGTAAATGATGCAAAATTTAATCTAATTTTTCGTTAAATACGTTATAACATTCGTCAAAAAATTACAGGAGTAGCAGTGTTAGGTGGACCCTTGTATGCTGTTGGTGGGCATGATGGTTGGAGTTTCCTCGATACTGTAGAGAGATGGGATCCAGCGACGCGTCAGTGGAGCTCAATATGTCCTATGTCCATACAAAGGTCTACAGTTGGCGTGGCTGTATTAAATGATAAGTAAGTGTATTAATTCAAAATATGATTGTGCAATTTATGATGTTATAAATTGATTGTTTCAGTGTTATATATGAGAAAACACATTCTATTTTAATATATTCGTCTTTAATAAATAGATGAAGAGAGAAATTACATTAATCTCTTTATTTTAGGTTGTACGCCGTAGGAGGGAGAGATATCAGTTCCTGCTTAAATACTGTGGAATGCTACGATCCTCACACTAACAAGTGGACACCGTGTGCACCTATGTCGAAGAGGCGAGGTGGAGTAGGTGTGGGAGTAGTGAATGGTTGCCTTTATGCACTCGGTGGTCATGATGCTCCAGCCACTAATCCTAATGCTAGCAGATTTGATTGTGTAGAAAGGTGAAATCACACTATTGTGTCGTATAATTTTTAATGTAGATTAAGTTTTTCTCTTTTTCCATAACTATATCGAAGAAGTAGAATATCAAACAAATTTTTTTTTTCGTATCATGCATTGAAATAAATTACTTTTTTTTTAAATTGTACTATGTCTTTATATTTTAAATACAAGTGTATTAGCAGTCATAAACATAATATAATTAATAGGTACGATCCTAAAACTGATACGTGGACTATGGTCGCACCAATGAGCGTGCCTCGAGACGCAGTCGGTGTCTGTGTGCTAGGTGATAGATTGATGGCTGTGGGAGGTTACGACGGTCAACAGTATTTAACACTGGTGGAAGCCTATGATCCACATCTTAACGAGTGGGAACCTGTAAGTGTATAAATATTAAAACTGCTCTGTACAATACGGAATTTGCATCTTTGAAGTGATTTTCAAACATTTATTCGATCTAAAAGATGTGATGCTTTAAAAGCGCAAGCAAATCCAGATATATTGCTGTAGTTTAGTGGAATAATTATAAATTTATTTTATGTAAAGTTTACAAGATGTGTTTATGTTTAAAGGTTGCTCCTCTTAAAGCTGGCCGTGCAGGACCCTGTGTCGTCGTAAAATATTTAGCCAATAACACTTAAATCACTTATAATTAGTAACCAGGCTTATCTTCCTTATATTGATTTGGGTATATTTCAAAGAATTTGTTCTCTCTCTCTCTTTCTCTCTTGTGACATCGCACACACATTAAATTAATTACAGTGTTACTTCTTTTGAAAAGCAATATTAAGTAACACTATTCACAACTAAGTATTAAATTTTTTCTTAGCATATAGTAATTTTTATAGGATTTTTACACGTTTTTATTGATATTGGCAAACAGTATTTTTGCTGCTTATTTACGAGTATGTACACATGATTGCGCGATTTTATATAAACATTCAATCTCTAATGAATAATTTTGCTAATAACAAAGTGGTTGTGGCAGTTTGTATTTATCATATAAATTTAGAACATATGTAAGAACTTTCTAGAATTTGTATATACAAATATGGTTTTCTCATAAGAAGAAACACAATTTCTCGTAAATTTCTTCGTACTTCTGTGATGTACAATAAATTATTAACTTTTTCTACAAATGTATGATAGAATATAAGTGTTAGATATAAAAACTGAAAAATAAGTATTATAGAAGTATTTTCAGAGTTGGGAAATAACATGTTACTTGTAACATTGTTACCGTTATCGCTATTTTTTTCAATAGCAATTGTTACTTTTTTCTATTTGTAACTGTAACAAATTCAACCGTTACTTTTATCGTTTAATTATCTCTATTCAATAATAGATAATGTGCTGGTTGTGTGCTGATAGCGTGTATTAGATATTCTTGGTTGGATAGAAATATTTCGATATTCGCTGAAAGACAGTTGCAGTTGGGAATATTTTGTTAGATGAACTGGCTACATTAAAAATAATAATTTAAGATTAAAAAACAATTTTATTTTAAAATCAATTAAATATTTTATTTTAGTATTATAAAAATGTAACAAAAAAGTAACTATTATTTCTTAGTAAAGATAATGGTAACGCGTTACTTTTTTGAAGTAACGTTCCCAACTTTGAGTATTTTTAATATCGTTCGCGTGCGTGTTAAATTATAGTATTATCGATTGAAATGCAAAAGTCGAAGTCTGACGAGCTTTTACGTAGCGAAGGAAATGTAAGAACAAATTATTTTTCTCATCAAGATAAATGTCTTTATTTACACATGTACGATATACGTCCCTATATTTTATGAATATATCTCCTTGAAATAAATAATCATATCGTCTAATTAAAAGAAATTCTTCACATTGTTCAATGAGTTTGCATTATAAACTTTCTTAACACGCCGGAAAAGTCCTGAAAAAATTAATTACAATCAATTAAATATTTCTCGCAAAATTAATGACGAAAATCACGAAAACTATGGGAACTATAGGTAATCAGTATTCCTACTATTCTATATTTCTAATATAAAAAAAAATATAAATAATTATATGCTTGAGACATAAATAACTTATGACGCAGGTAGCGAATATTTATTTATACAGAAGGGAGAAATCGATGAATTATTTACTAGATGAGTTAATTAAAATTACCGTGGAAAATCCGATGCTGGCTCCGCGAACTTATGCCTAACCATGAATGTAGCTATAGCTTCTGCCACTTTATCCGGCACATCTTCGTGAACCGCGTGCCCACACGCAGGCAGTACTTGCATTTGAAATTTACCTATATTTTTGCAAACAAATAATTCATTAGAAAATATTGTGGAAGTAATGTATAATAATCGATCTCGAAAATAATATACCTTGCATCTGTCCTACGGTAAGCTCGCGATCTAGTCTATCAACTCCTGCTAATAACAACATTTTTGGTGCCGAAACATTCAAAAATGCCGTCGACAATCCTTTAAACCAGCCAAACCAGTGTTGCTCTGTCTTTGCCAAATCTATTCTCCATACGTACTTTCTGTTGGCAGGAACAGTAGGAGACACAGGTGGCGGCATACTGGACGAATCTTCTTCTTGGATAATATCATCTCGTGGTATAACTGGTTCTGGATTAGATTCACACGTGTATTGGGTTGACAATGTATCAATATCATGAGTTGCTAATTTGCTAGTTTCAATGCTGAAAATGACACAGTGTCATATAACTTGATTTATATTCCTAACACTTATCACTAATATGAAATATTACAACCTAAGGATTATTCTTAAAAACTCACTAACTTTTTTATCTGTCCAGGAACCGAAACCTTCGCAGACTGTATGTTACGAATCTGTCCACTACGCACACTGAAATACATGATTAAAAATATATGATTAAAAATTAATCTCTCCACATAAAACTTTATTTTATACAATAGTGTGTTTAAACATTAGATAGAAAGCTAAAAAAGTTTTAGCAAAGAAAGCCAAATTATTTTAGATAACTAACAAATACCAACCACCATTCTATAGCTTGTGATATGGTGCTAAAACTAGACGGTCGAGATCTTAAAAAGCTTTGCATGGAAGCTAACGCGTCCATTGCTGTGCCTTCTACAACATCTATAACTCCTAATCCATATAAATTTGGAATTAGTTGAGCTGCTCTTACAGCTACTGCTCCACCCATGCTGTGACCAACTAGTATTATTGGAGTTTCAGGTTCAATTATATCTACAACAGCTGCAACATCCCTAAATGAAAGATATATTGATGTATATATAATAAAAATTTTCTCTAACATTTATACTAATAAAATGTTTGTTTAGTTTTCATTGAATCATATTTTGAACTTTTTTATTTGAAGAAATTAAAAAAAGGAATAAGAAAAAAAATATAGTTAAAATGATGAAAACAGTCATATAATATAGCTCACTTACGATGCTAAAGTATCCACAGACAAATCCTCATCATTTGTAGTATAAGTATCCCCATGACCTCTAAGATCAATTGCCATAACTCTACATAACACCATTGTCATAATAGATTTCTAAAATTCATGATATATATTAATTTTATTGTGTGATATACATGTATGTGTATACAGTATATCACTAACTTTCCATTTTTACCACTAACACTTATTCTATACATCACTTATAAATAGAAAATGAACAAATTATTTTTTCTGAATACCTACTGTAAGTTCTGCCCATGTTAAACCACTGTAACCACCACCATGTAATAAAACTAACAAGGGCCCTTCTGTGCCTTTGATATAAACATGAAAAGTATTCTGCCCCACCAATACATCTTTAGAATAATCAAAGTATGGATTCCACTGTACTGGATCATAGTCTCTTTTTCGTTGAGCTCCTTTCAATTTGTTAATCCTTAGAAATAAAATACTCTATATATATGGAATGATTTCATAGTAATTTAAAATACTTACTCTATCTGACTCAAGATTAATGTAAGATTACGAACACAAACCTGGAATTTAATGCTGAAAAATTGACAGCCGATGGTGGTAGTCTGGATTTTAAAATTGATTTTTGAAGAGCAGACATGTTAATTGTATTACAGATGTCTATGATTTCTCGAGAACAATGCTCGTATCTTTAACTGCAGTTACATATGAAAGTCAAGGAGAAAACACTCAGCGTTGCGATTAAAAACGTGAAGGCTAAAAAAGAACGCGAGAAACACATATGACACTTCTGAACGTCACTGCTAAATTGCTCAGAACTCAGATAAAATCTGAGGTGTGAAGAGGGGATATACGGCCAACAATCGATGTTCGACTCTGCTTTTTGTTAAGGAATCGATTACCTTCTCGATATTTCTGAACTCGAATCATCCATATATATCGATAGTTTATAGTCGCCACTAGAGACCCTATAGTAAACCCAATGGTACACGATGCTTGTTTTCATGCTGGATTGTTTGCTGGATGGAAATATTCTGTTTTGATTGGTGCATTTCTGAAGACGGACTAATCAGATTACAGTATTTCCGTCCAGCAAGCAATCCAGCACGAAAACAAGCATCGTGTGCCGCTGGCTTAAGAATCTGGCCATCAGAGAAATTCTGGCAAAATTCTTCGAGAGAGAAAGATATATATTTCCTAGAGGGTCTATATATATAATATATATCTTTTTCTCTCGAAGAATTTTGCCAGAATTCTTCTGATGGTCAGACTCTAATGGCTCCTGTGTGCAGGAGCCATAACTTTGTGAAAATAACGGGTCTAAATTAAGTGTGTATCGATTATTAGATCCGTTATTTCTATAAAATTATATTGCAATTTTAGACAAAATCGTAAAACTCGTAACGTTCTCGTAAGACTCGTAAGAACTTATAAGTAGACGATTGATTGGTAAGCTACGACTTTACGATTTATGCCCAATTTCTTCTTCTCCAGTTAACTTCATCTGTCGGATAAATGTCAACCGTGATTGGTTAATCTTGCTAATCATAAATATGATTGGTCAATTCTAATAGAATAACTGGCAGATAAAGTTAACCGGAGGTGAAGAAATTGGGCATTACTCGTATATTGGGGATGCGTTCCGAAATTCACTTTCAGTACTGAAATTCTATAATTCTATATACGTAACATGAACTATAGATTTTTAATACTGGCAGTACATTTCGGAACGCAGCTTTGCTTAGAATCGCATATTAGTTCCAAAGTCTCCGCTACGAGCCGTCACTATACACACTACACCAACTGAAGTAGTGATGGATTTAAGTGGATTTAAAGTATCGATAAAGCGATTGAGGTAGTGAAAGATTTAATTATGGCTCGTGATTGGCTCTTTAATTATGACACATATACTTTTCCTTTTTAATTATTACGAAACTTGGCACGTTATTGTGGCACAATTGAATAACGGATCAAAGCAATTCAAAGTGAAATCTAATGAATTTTCTCCTTATATTGATACTCTAAAATACTTATGTTCTTTTCGGCATTCATTTGTTTTCTATTGGTATATAACTTTCAAAAGGAAAGGAGAGAGGAGATTGAGTTTTAAAATTTTAAAATTTAAAGAAATATATTTTGTTATTATCAAGAAATAATTTTTATTACTTCGCACAAAATTCATAGCATTTCTTGTATTACAGCATGTTTGAGTAAATAGTTTGATATCAATTGGCTTATCACAGTGAATTACTCAGGTAAAAAAAAACATGTTCTTATTCACATTGTCTAGGTAAGCACATAATCATCTTATTTAAAGAAAATATTCTTTTATATCCATGGTAACTGTAAATATGCTTCGCAAAGTTTTAGTGAAATATTTAACAACATTTGTCTATGTTTTTGTTATTATGTTTACAATCGTACGTATAATTTGTTTGCCCTCTTGATGATTTAAAAGATTTAACAGAGGATCCTGCATCTTTTGTTGTAACAATTTTGCTAGTTCTGTTCTTATACGTTGCAAAAGTTGACCCACCTGAAAGTAGTACATAGCATTATAGTCATGCATATTGCAAATACTTCTCTTTATTTTCTTTATCATGATTGCAACTTTACCCTATGTGACTCCACTACAAACATGATCCAGCCATCCCCCAAGGACAGAATGAATGTGCCATTATGCAATTCCATGTTTAATTGATAACCAGAGAATAATAATAATGGTAAGCTTGGTATCATAGAAACCTCTTTGATGTAAACTCGACTGGTTTTAATCTTTTCTTGGTATACTAGATACGGACTTGTATAGTGACTGGTGCGAAAATTCACAGACGACGGATGGATGTAGACAAAACAGTCATCCTTGGTTTGAAAACGCAACTCCTCTGGTTTAGGCAGAACAGGAACTGCACCAGCTGATTGCACTTGGAATGACTTTGCCGGTGTGAAAACCTTTACCACGTTGGGATACAACGCCGCGCAGAGGAGACCTTGCAGCAACTTGTAGTTGTCATTGTTGACATTCAATTCAGGACCAGTAATCTCTAAAATATTGTCAACATTTGGCCGTCTCTTAGGTAAGTCGACAGGTGCGAAACCGATCGATACCAGCAATTCCAAGAACTGGTACTTTATATCCGCCAAAGTATGAAAGGTTTGCACGGATAAGTAGTTCAAGTTGGCGAACACTTGTGCCGCTTGAGCGCCTCGTGAACGAACGGATAACCATTTCTATTAGAAAGAATATATGTAAGTTATACAAAATAATAATGTCAATAAAATAATAATGTCAAGAGAAAGTAAAGGAATAATTTAAATTATACAGCAATATGTGTGTGTAGTAGAAATGTTTGATTAAAAATGTTTGAAAGCTTTTCTACAGTGTTAACTAGTTCTTAATATTTGAACCGATAGTAACTAATTATTGTTGTAATAATTTAAGTAAGAAATTTTTTTGTAATTAAATTATAAATAAAATTTGAAAATTATCGTTAGACCACCATAAATAATTTCACAATTGCAAAAAAAAATACCTTATAAGCCTTGAGAACGGTTAACTGATCCGAGTTAGCCACGAAGAATTCTTGCTTGGGATCAACCTCGTGTCTCTTCTCGAATGGTACGTAAAACGGATTCTTGTACGATAAACAGGCTGCGATAGTCAGCGCAGAATCCAAGCAGCAGAAAATCGCACCGAATAATATCAATTTCCCGATTTTTGCGTTCACAGGTAACGAGGCTAAGTGATGACCGAGTGGCGTTAACATACATCTTGAGTCAAACGCACCGACATCCTGCAAGCGTTTTATGGAATTCGTGATATTTTCGTGCGTGGGTGGTTCCAACATTCTTTCTGAAAGATTCGAAAAGACTTGTTAAACTTAAAACAAACAGCGAACAAGGTGTACAAGATTTTCTCACCAAATATCTTATGCAGATCCATCATTTTCTCTTTATGCATAAACCGAATACGTAAAAGTAGTGGTTCCAGAGAAATTCTCAGTATTTCGGGTACAGGTTGTCCAGCGAAATGATATTTAAATCTACATAATCATCTGTATATTACAAACGTTATATTCATCACACATTATTCTCAATGGAAACTTTAATACAAACCTGTACGAAGTGTACAAGTGAATACAGACTCCGGGCATTACTCGACCAGCTCGACCTTTTCTCTGCATAGCATTCGCCCGTGACACCCAACAAGTCTCTAGACTCTCCATGTTCAAGCCCGAGTTAAACCTATTTTCTTTCATCATTCCTGTATCGATCACGAAAACGCAATCGTCTATAGTAATAGACGTTTCAGCCATATTTGTGCTGAGTACAATTTTACGGACGCCGTTTTTGGTTTTCTGAAATACGAGACTTTGTTCTTCATTAGAGAGACTCGAGTGTAACGGCACGACGACGAATTGTTTAGTCTTCGGTGAGAGGTACTTATTATCGTACAATTGATCTTTTAAAGTGAGAATTTCAGCAAAGCCTGGCAGAAATACCTACAACACAATAAAATATATATGTACAAAAAATAATAAAACGCCACAGCAGATTAAAATAAATTTGCGTACTCCATCGTGGATTAATCTTGGATTAAAAAGAAAATCAGCACGTTCACATATTGAATGCATATGAAATTTACGTAAAAACTATACATCTTCTGATAGAAGTACACACTTTGTGAAAGAATTTGTTATATGAGTTTGTATCAAAAGGGATGAAATGCGCAGATATATTTTTTATTAAACGTGCAATTGTCCACTTCAAATGAAACAAACACAATCAACAAATAAAAGATACTTACTAGAATAGAACCTGTTCTGGGGTAGTCGTGTTCTCCAAAAACAATCCATTCCAGAATCTTCTCTATAAATTCAAAATTAATCTTTTTATGATCTATAATATATAAATTTTTATACGTTTGTCTGGAGTAACCATGATATCTGCTAACAAGTTGTTTTAACGTCAAATTCTCATCTTGGATAGATTCTTTGGGAGTGTTAGCAGGTATTCCTTCGATATCAGCGACTTCCAAATCGATTTCAAGTTGGTCCCAACCGCCCCTAATTGTACGTGTAAATTTTGAATTTTCCTCGACAACATATTCTATTCTTTCAAATGCATCTTCAAGAAAGATTTGCTCCACCGGAAAAGTCATTCCCGGGATATTTAAGACCGGCGCTTGTTCAAAGTACGAGGAAAACGTGTCGGATTTGAGCGTCGCGCTCATCAGTATCACTTTCAAAGTCGGTCTTTTCAATAATAATTCCTTTAAAAGCATCAGCAGCAAATCGCTAAAGGGAAAAAAGTAACATATAAAGAAAATGTGAAGGGAGAAATATGAAAAAAGTAACATAAAGAAAATGCGAAGGGAGAAATATGAATATTTTACCTCTCAGCGCTCCTCTCGTGCACCTCGTCGACTATGACGTGAGTCACGTCCGGTAACTCGAAACTCGCAGATAATCTCTGCAGTAGTATCCCCGTGGTGCAGAACGTCAATCTTGTTTTACTGGACATCTTACTCTCTAAACGTATTTGGTAACCGACAGAATCTCCTATATTTTCGTCTCTCTCCGCCGCCACTCGTTCCGCAACTCCTATAGCGCTTATTCTTCTGGGTTGAGTACACACTATATTTACATGAAGCTTATCCTCTGACTGTGATCTGTTAATAATCCAGTCGTCTAAAATAAATTGCGGCACCTATAATGTTTTCATTAAGATTTTTGTTATTCTCTCTTCTAATATATATTTCTTTTTTTATGATGATGAAGGAACATTATGTACCTGAGTACTCTTACCACATCCGGTTTCACCTGAAATAATAACAACCTGATTCTGTTGTACAGTTTCTAAAATTTTAGTCATATTAGACCATACAGGCAATTTCTTTCGTGTCTCCTTCATTTTTCTGTAATTAGTGTTCTTCTGTTTCTCTTTAAATCTTTTTTCTATTAAATTGTCCTCTTTGATGATCTCTTCCCAGGAAATACGATCTCTGTTTTTCTTATTAGTGCTACCGAGTTTATAATGACTGGCTGCATTTTCTTCCTCCTCCTCATTTTCCGGTTTCTTTGAAAACAATGGCTCGAATTGATCCAAAAATTGTTCTCTGTTCTCCTCTAAATAGGTTTTTATCTTATATTCATCATCATACTCCAACAATGAAATTGTGGAAAATAACGAAGATGTGCCTTGATTGGCTAATGATAATGCGTGGTTATGCAATTTTCTGGCTATTCTTAGGCAATCAATACGTGGAAACATCCCATCGTTCTTATAAATATAAAAATAGGGCGCTTCATATGGATACTTACAACCTGTAAAATATGAAAACATTTTTATTACTTTGTCAATAGATATTACATAATACAACTCCTAACAACTAGCTATATGTATAATTCAATAAATACATTTAATTCTATATTGTACCTTCAGGAAATCTTATTTCTAATGTAAAATATGGATCTTTCTGAATTGGTGTGTTTGATACTTTCTTTGGCAGTTGATGCAAAAATCTACACTTGTCACCAAATCTGCATTTATTGCGTACAAAAAGTCGACATATCTCTTTCTCCTTCTCTTGCTTTTTCTCTTTTACAACAACTCTCTCAGTTTCCTGATTATTTGTTAAATAATTTAATTTCAATTGTACCGTCCAAATACAATTTTTTATTTTCTCATGAAAAGCCTCCCCATATATAGATTCCATTATTTCTTTCTCTTCATATAACTGCACCAATAGATTAGCTTCATCAATGTCTACAGAATCTTTATTTTGTGAAATCTCCTCAATTCCATAGTACTTGTAAAACAGTACTTCTAAAGCTTTACCTAAATCACCATCTGTGTGCATTAAAGCTTCTATGCAATGTGAGACATGAAAACTATAAAAAACAATAAATAACTTTTATATTATACAGAATAAAGTGACAAAATACATCATCTCACTTTGGAAACAGTACTGTACCCATAGCTCTCCAATTTAGAAGTTGCAAATTCCCTTGTTATTTGCTCTTCACTTTTGGAAGTTGTGTCTTTGGAAGAATAATCCACTATTTCTTTCACAACCAAATTACCACGTTCCATCCAGTACTGCTTGTTTAAGTTTGACTTTTTGTTCTCAAACTCAGAGGCATCAGAAAGTTTGAATTTCTACAAAGGTATTATAACAATAAAAAAATAAAGATTAATAGTCATTGGTGTAAACATATTTATGCATTTCCTAATAAATTTATGTATATACTTACAGCTCCATAAATATGTTTGAGAGTATCATATAGCTGTCGTTCAGATTCCTCAGATATCTGCAGTGTTTGCATTTCCACTTTGAGCTTGCTGTATGATGAAGAACTTGTAGGCTTTTTTGGTCCATTGTTTTTCACGATATCATTTCTATTATGCAAACACAAACAAATACAAATGTGTTCAATTTAGTTTATTGCCTCTGTGTGTGTATATGAGCACAGATAAAAATGACATTTATCTTACGTTGTAGTTATTCCATCCACTGGAAGATCTTCTATTAATTTCATGCTATAATGATCCATTGTTTAAATCAGTTGGTTACGCTTTTATCTTTTAAAAAAAAATTGTCAAATTAGGCCCTACGTAACGTGTTGCAATATAATACGCGACCAAACGTAACACGTGTCGTCACTCCAATGCAAAGAGCATGCTTACTGCCAGTTGCTGCTGACGTTCGCACTACTACACATGCGCGGAATTTTATACGATTCAGCTGAGATTAGACTTTTGTTGTTCTCGTTACATGCTCCAGGTAGGCATGTAGTCATTTTTATAGGTTAAAATAACTTTATTGTATTATATATCTTAAATAGTATTTTAATGTATATATCTGTTATTATCAATGTGTTGTCTGAATAATAGAAATCGATATGGCTTCTACTTGTATGATCTTACGGCGTGGTATCGCGACTTCATGCGTCTGTCATGGAAAACGAAATTTCCGAAAATTCCTTTTGTATAATAAACGAGGCAGTCGTCAGTTTAAAGAGGCACAGGCGAAAAATCCGGATCCTGACATACCAATAGACAGTAAGTTATCGTTTCTTTTCTGTAGGTTTATATATTTTTGTTATGTTACTTTGTTATGTTATAGATTATTATATTATATTGTAAATAGTTATGTTCAACAGCTGTATTAGCATTTTGTACTGACAGTTTAAAGATTTGCTTTACAATGCTGAGAAAATAATGTTCTTTTTAACAAATATGTTGGAAATTTATAGACTATTAGGTAATAACCAATGGAATATCTCACAATAGTTACAGAGCTACTTTCTCTGGCTGAACACAGCCAATAACAATAATATATGTTCTTTGTCCCCATAATAAATTAATATAGAATAAAACTACAAAAAGTTTAAGACTGAAAAATAGTTTTTAATAAGTAGTTGAGATTTGTGATGTTTTTATAATTAGTATTTATATGAACTTACAAAATATATTATACAAATTAGATATTTCTAATATATGTATATCATTTATTATGATTACAGAGAGAGATGTAAGAGATACTGGAATCAAAGTAAATGGTAAATTTTACTTTGTGCCTGAGATGGTCCCTGAATTAATTGTCCCCTCACTGGAAGGATTTGAATTGAAGCCTTATGTGTCATATAAAGTGGAAGAATTTGATCAAGGTCGATTCACTGCTCAAGATTTGTTTGACATAATATATGCTGAGAAGATAAAAAAAGACTTTATAAATGGTGAATTGGATGAGAACGGGGAGCCGTTAAGTCCAAGTGAAAATGAACAACTCACACCACAACAAGCTAAGGACAATGCTACAAAAACAGGCTGTGATATTTTTAGCGCTAAACATTAGACAACTATTGTAAGTTATGACTCGATTATGGCTCTTATAATTATATTGTAAAAATAAATTTTCTCTTGCGGGAGCATAGGATTATGAAGTAAATAAATATCTTCAATGTGGTCTGAACGCATTAATTTAATTTTTCAATCTGCATATGTTTTATTCAGAACCCGCATGTATACATACATACGTCGACAATTTGTTGCAATTTACAAAAAGTAACTACTTACTATCGTATATGACTGTTGAAGTAATATTATATGCGCACTTTGCTAAGAGCATGAGCTAACTGAATTAGTTATGTTGTATGCACATATAAGTGACTATTTCAGTCGGATTAGTTTGATACGACGAATTGTCCGTATGTGGCAGTCATTGCTTGATAGCAAATAATTACTTCCGCAAAAATGTAGCTTCAGCCCTTAAACAGATTACGTTTCATGAAATAATAGCTACATATCACATGTAATCGTCGCAACATTTCTCGCAAGAGCCGTGTAGTCGAACATGCATAAATGTTTTGATGGATAAGTGAAATTAATTATTGCTCACTGAAACATATATTGTATTGGATCTCCATTTTACGCAGTTCGAAGCTCTATCAGTCCAGAAAAGACAGGCGAATGAGAGAACTCGCAATAATGCCAAAATTGATTTTCAATTCCTGAGATTCATGGATATCCTGCGTCGATGTCCGTTTTGCGAATGATAGATCTCGTTTGCAATTAGGCTAACTTAACAGTTATGTTTTACTTATCAAAAGATTTTTGAGCGAAGTTTGATTGTTTCCTGTCGGGTAAAAAATGGCGAAAAATTTGAATAGTAAAGTCGTTGTCAGTTGTGCGCGGCCGGTATTGCTTACACTACTGGCTAAATTACTAGATTCTAATAATATATATATGTATATATATATTGTTTTTTCTTTTTAAAGTGCTGTATTCATATCAAACGTACAAACTGTTTCGTAATCATTATTGTTTCTCTTTTAACGTTTCCTAATAATTATAATCATGCAAGAAGCTCATAAAACAGAGCTGTCGAAATAGAAGAACATCCTGTTTAGAAAAAACCATATTTAGAGTACCAGCGAATATTCATGAAAGACACTTGTATAAAAGTAGTGCAACTATTAATGTGGCTATAAATATTTCTAGAAAGAGATAACATATACAAAATGTCATTCAACTTATACTCTTCTATAGGAAATTCGTGTGATCACATAAATAATTTATTTAAACATCTTTACAGAATGCAGCACTTCTCGTCTCTTACATGTTAGCTACTATTTACTGCTAATATTATTGTTTTCCGTTATTATTTCCTATTCTCTATAGTCATCAGTGAAGAGTGGAAGAGGAAAACATCACTAATTTTGTACAGTATTACTGGAACGCTTATTAAGAAAACTGAAAATCCCTCGAAACTCGCGTCGTGTTTCCACTCTTCGGATTAAATAAACAGAAAAGCGGAAGTGGCATAGTACTTGTGTTTTTCCCTGCGGGAAGAATTTTAATTCTATCTCAGTCGCACTCCTATTCTTTACATGTCTGCTCGATATTTCATTTCTATGCCTTAACTCTATATAACCTTTTATTATTTATACCTCATCAACGACTTGAGCACTCGTTGTTTCCTCACTCATTGGCAGTACGTTATATTTTCTTAAAGACTTCCGTATCGCGCGTCAATTCGACGCATGTATTCTATCATTCTCGTTTTACATGCATGAGTACACAGTCACGAAAATGAACGAATCCTCTGAGCTTTCTACATCTAAATTCGAACTTGTCAATCAAAAACCCCACTTAAGGATGCTCAAAAACTTCACAGTTGTCTCGCTGTAACTCTCAACAGCGAGTGCCGTAAGGCAAGTCATATGCCACTTGCTCTTCAACCAAATTTGGTGTTTCGTCTTGTTAATTATCAGTCTATGATATAATTGGATATTTGACTGGTAGAATCAGTCATTTTAATAAGGCAGGTACATATGTTACTGTACGGCAAAGATTCCTCCGTATAAATCCTTTTGTGCCATTTGCAATGCGCACATCGAAGAAATGGACATTAATCTCCTGTCTCTCACGGTACAGATACATGCGTGATTTTTTTTATACGGACATAGAATACACTGTAGCGAGATAAATAGTATAACTTTATGAAGCAGCATTTTAGCAAACGGCTTGCACATGAAAAACGTCTATAAGTTTTCATTATATTTAAACACCGAATTCTCCGTTAGCAGTGTCTCAGATGGATAAAAGTATAAAAGTGTAAATCTTTGGCATTCAGTAACATGTACCATACATCTAATCAGAGATCTTGAGTATGTAAAGTAGATGATCATTATAGACGAATGAATATGTTATATTAAATTCTTCATATATGACATAGTCCCTTAACGTATCTCTGTCCGAGATAAAATGATATGTAACTATTTTAATAATATAAGTCAATGCGGAAGGACTGGGAAGGAAACACTGCTGAGAGAAAGAGAGAAAAAGAGAGAGGGATGGAGAGAGAAAGAAAGAAAGATAGATAAAGAATCGACATAACAGTTTGGCTTGGCTTTTCATACGCAAGATCTCGAGATAATTACTAATAATATAGGGCAGAAGTTTATTCCATGGGATCTCCTACATTCTCGAAGATGGTTGAATGTGGATTGCTGCTGGTGGGCCACAAGAAACCACCTACACTGCCCGGTGGTAAGTAAGACGCGCCTCCACTAAGGCCCACCTAACATTTTACAACGTATCAATTATTTAATCTCTGTCATGTGTGATTAAATTCTTCTTGTGCATCTTTATACTTATATATGCACACATATAGACAAAATGTGCTAAGCAAAATGATAAGAAAGCATTGTAGGTCTAATTTTTTTCTTTAACAAAATACTTTGTACAAAATAGAAGTATGCGCGCGCGTAAGGAAGCAAATCTTTTTTTCTTCGTAATACTAACACGTAATACTTTGAAAATGTTCACTTTTCTCGCGTGACGATTGTTTGTAGTTGCCGTCTATGTCAGTAATGTATGGCTTCTATCTACATAATTGGAGTTCTTCTGACTAAGTATCTTCTTTCTGCTTGAAATATGTGTAAATTTACGAGAAAGAGAAAGAGAGAAAGAGAGAGAGAGAGAAAGAGATTTATTAATGACAAGGTAGTTATTATCTATCAAGGATCGGTTCATGCATGTAAAGGCAAATTAGAGTAAGAGATAACTGCCAAATTAAAGAAAAATAATCATTTATTTGCAATTTAACATAAATAATTGTGCTAATAAATCGCAGGTATGTACTTTTTTTTTTTAATTGTAGTTACTAAATAACAATATGTACATCAGCTCACTATTGTAAACGTGCAAGGCATTTACAATAACGTCAAGACATTCTCAATGAGACCTTATAGTCTGCATCGAGTGTACTATGTACAAGGGCTTCCCAGTGTCGTTTTACATGTCGATTGAGTTACTTTCGCCAAAAAAATAGAGATTTCGAGATCACAGTCCAATTGCAAGAAGCACTCGAGGAATCGGCTGTACAAGTCGCTTCGATACGTTTGCCCAGTGTCTGTACTGTGTGATTTTTACACCGTAACTTCTCTATGAATTTACCTGCTGGCTCCATATTAGCGATCTCTCCGCTAACTGGCAGTCCGCTGCCAATCGGGACGGTAGACTCTTCCATCTCTCCTCGTCTCGCTTCCTGTCTCTGTCGAAGTCTCGGTCGACGTGACCCTGAGAGAGAGGCGGCAAAATCTGCGTTCGCTGGGCCAGCTTGTAACTGTCTTGCCTCGGCACATGATCGGCGCGTCTGCTGGTGCTGCTGGTAGAGACCGGGATCGGTGTTGGACTGCCGCCAGCTCGGTGCCGATGATACAGGTTGCGTTTTTGCTGCAGCATGCGTTGCTGTACCAAAAGTTGCAGCTGCGTGCCCGAATCGCCGCGCATCTTGAATTGCTGCTGATTGTCGGGCGGTGTGGACGGTGGCCTAAGATGGACTAGGTCCAGATGACCTCGTGCCTTCCCCGAATCTAGAAAATGATCAGTTATCATATCATCGTAAGCACTACGTTAGAAAATTTAATCGAGAGAACGTTAGAGAGAAGATACGAGAACGTACCTTGAATACTTCTCTGCTTAGATGGCCTGTCTCCGCTGCCTTGCTGACAGAACAGTAATCTGGGTCCACCGTCGGACGCTCTTCGTCCTTGAGAGACTCGAGATATCCTACCAGTGATCGGGGATGGACTTTTAGGTGGCGGTGGCGTGCAGGACGGTAGACTGCTCGTGAAGCAATTCGTCCCCGTGTAATCTGGCGGGCAGCCAGAATCAAAGCTGGATTCGAAGAGTTCCGAGGACGAGCTACCGCTGCCGCCCGCCATGAACAGCGTCGTCCGACTGGGAGGATCAATAGGATCCATAAGCGGGTTATCAAAATGATGCTGGTAATCGCTTAACCTTCGATTGACTATCTGACTGTCAATTCGTTGACTGATATCGTGATCTAGGCCTAATCGGTGCTCCTCGAGTTTGATCTGCGCTTCGCGCAACTCGTCGCCGCTCGGCCCTTCCTCCAAATCGCCCTCCGCGCTGCAACAACCTTCATCGGTTGAAGAGCTCGTCGAGCTGAATCTTTTACCTCCTCTGCCGGTATCATCTCTTGCTCTGAAATGAGAAAATGATTCGTTTCGTTTTATTACTCGAAGAAAGCGTTCGTTCATTTTGTCGCGAATGATTTCTTGCCATGACGATGAACGGATGCACTGTGTAGCAATCAATCGAAAAGCACTCGATAAGCATTCTCTTCATTAATTGATCTGTTAGCATTAGTTTACCATAAAAGAGATGTATTATATCGTTTCCACATTAAATTGTATAAAATATCATTGCAGGAAAATAATCTGGACTCTTGTTTTTAGTGCTACTACGCTGTGTTATATATAAAATTCATATCGATGTATAGTCTGTTCCAGTTGTTATAAATAATAAAACAAACATATAAGTCACAAAACACATTTGCCAAAAATAAAACTTTACCGAAAATTAGAGAAGTGAATTTTCACTCCATTAAATTCTATTAATATATAGGAGGTATGTAAAATGAATAGTAGTATAAGCGTTTACGGGATATGGTTTAAATAATAATGTGATTCAGTGAATAATATGAAATTAAAGCAACTTAAAATTATTATTATAAATCAAGATTTATGGGGCAGAGAAAGAAAGACATAAAAAAATAAAACGAGGAGTTACCAAAAATAAAGTGACAGCAATGTGCTTCCAATCCAACCTGTCCTGACAAAATCTTCGATATGTGCGCCACCCACCAATAAAGTTCAACGTCCCACTAAGCTATCGCTGTAAATAAAAATCGACAAATTAAGTCATTATTCTCGTGATATTTCACCGAACTGGTAGGATTGGAAGTTAACATGACATCTTGGTACTTGAAATTCTTAAAAAAAGATGCTTTTATATGATGGTATTTAATGACGTAAATGTGTATGATCTACCTTGATTTAAATTTATCTTCTTTTGTTCTTGCAACAGTAGACCAGCAAGTATTATTAATGGTGCTGCTGACACGATGTTGCTTCAATCTTTCCAACAGTAAGAAATAGATAGCCGCGTGATGATCATAGCTGCTGTTTCGTAAAGACTGTTAAAAGATAACAATCATATTTATACAATGCTATATGAAAGTATATTCGAGAAGTGTGTGTACACTTGAAAAATAGAATTCACTAAACAATGCTGCCATTTATCTCCAGAACTATGCGTATAGTTGTACAATATAACGAAACTTTTCAGCACCATTCCGTCTATCGAGTATCGAGTTTTGATAGATAAGATATAGATAAACGTGTTTTTAATTTCACACAATAAAAACAACATTGAGAAAGATGCTTGCTCACCTCTCTGGTGCGAGTGATGTCTATTCCTAAACTGTGCATGAGTCGAAGTATTTGCTCGTTCGGTTCTTGAATAGACGACGATGGCCTCGTTACAATCACCGAACATATACTATCCGCTGTTCCTGCCATCCAACGATGCCGTTTAATTTGTGGAATGGTGTATCGTTTGGAAGGCTCCAACACTAACATCTTGCGTATTAAGCTCTCGCAGTCTGCAATAGAAGTTTCGATATGTAGATGCGACGTCGATATTATACAAACGTGCAAAATACACGCTCCGGAATGCGTACCTGTGCTCATAAAGTAAGGAATTCTAAATCTGCCGCTTAGTACGCGATCTCTTAATGATTGAAGAGTTGATCCATCGAAGGGCAGTGCTCCGCATACCAACACGTACAATACAACACCCAGACTCTGCAAGAAGGAGCAAGATGAGCAAACGTTTCCGCACTTTGGAGGAGAAAAAGGACCAATTCACATTTCTTCAGTTTTCACTTAGAGAGCTCTTAGAGCTTATCGGTTTAAAAGTTTCGACTAACTGCAAACTGAAGAAACACCGATCTTTTCCTTTTCAAGAAGTAGACGCGCAATTTACGCCAATATCGACGTGAACTTCCGTTTCATTGGCTCAATTCGCAAGACTTACCCATACATCAATTTCCGGGCCGGCGTAATGTTTCCCGCGGAAAACCTCCGGGGCGGCGTAAGGCGGACTACCGCACCAAGTGCTCAGTCGCTCACCCGGAGCGAATCTGTTGCTAAAGCCGAAGTCGGCGATTTTCACGTTCATCTGCGCGTCCAGAAGCAAATTCTCCGCTTTTAGATCGCGATGCGCCACACCCGTCACATGGCAGTATTCGACCGCGGAGAGTATCTGCGCGAACGTCGCACGTGCTCTGGGCTCTCCCATTCTTCCGTAGCGTGCTATGTAATCGAATATTTCACCTTTGCTCGCGTACTCGCACACCTGAAACAGCGAGAAGTAACGTGATCCGTTCGGAAAACACGCCGCAACATTCGCGAAACGGTATGTCATCGTTATTATTCTCTTACCATGTAGATCATATTCTTCGTCTCCATGACTTGATATAATTTAACGATATGAGGATGCTCCAACTGCTTCATAATTTCGACCTCTCTGTATACTTTCTCCAAATTGGTAGGATCTAATTGAGTCTTGTCGATTATCTTGATGGCCACCTGAAAAAAGGCAATTCATAACATTTATTCTTTGAACACACGGTCGTTGTTACAACGAGATATTATTAGCGGGAAATTCGCGCAGTACCTCCGTTTTCGTGATTCGATGTCTGGCCAGCTTAACAACGGCAAAGTTGCCCTTGCCGATGGTGCCCTCGATATCGTAAAATCCCACACGGATTTGTTTTTTACCCTGCCCAGCTCCAGCATCCATGTTTACGTGAGCCTCACCGCTGAATTGCCAATTTTCACTGACTAATTCTCACCGACTGTCACCCCACTGTCTTCCTGCCGCTGCTGTTTTGCTAATCTGTAAAGATTGGAGCAAGCGGCTTTGAGAAGGGACTTCCTACCGCTTCGTCGGATATGAAGAGATCTTTCGGATAGAAGTTATTTTAACCATTTGAGTGCCAAGTCACGCTTCTTTGTTTTGCATATGGATAATGCTGGAGAACGCGTTTTTCTTTTTTTGTATGAAGAGAACTTTAACAGTGTTATCGCGTTTTTTTTTCTTGTTTTACGATTTGATATCGTTATATGATTGCTTTTATAATATTTGAGAATAGTTGTCGTAATAGAGAATTGTGATTAATTTAATCCTGCAGGTGCATTAATCTTGGGCATATCAAACTGAATGATCACTTTTGGTCATATACTTCGTGATCTCTTTTGGCACACAAACAATTAAACAGTCTACCACGGTCTGGAACAATTCATATCATTGGATTAAAAAAAAGAAGAAGCGAGAGAGAGAGAG